ACACATATCTACGTTGCAGGTTCAGTCCCTGGCCCTGGTTGGGGCCCGTGCAGGAGGCAACGGATAGATGCTTCTCTCTCACATCAATGGCTCCCTCCCTCTCTCCCTCCCCCTCTCTGTAAAAAATCAACGAACATGTCCTCGGGGAAGGATTTAAAAAAAAAATCTTCCTCTGCACCACGTGAGACCAGCCTGCTTTGTGGAGTGGAGTGCATGCCCTTTGGCTTTCTGCCTTCCCTCCCCGTGTACAAAGACATCATTTAGGAAGGGATTGTTTGGGGGGAGATTGAAGGCTGGAAAAACACGCCCATCAGAAGATCCAGCCGAGATCCTCTTTACGGATTGGGGAGCTTTTTGGACCCATTCTCCCACCCTGGCAGCCCCTTACTTTCCTCCTGGGCTCACAGCTGCTTCCAGAAAGGTCTCATCGGTGTGATTGGTAGAGGAAGGGTGATAATCCCAACCCCTGGCTGGGAGAGTTGCCCCTTAGCCTTCTGCATGGCGAGGCCAGTGCTGTGGACGGTAGGTAGTCTGACGGCTGTTCAGAAATGCCAGGGCTGAGCTTCCAGTTCCTTCAGCGAGCATCTGCTCCCTGCTGGTTCAATGCCAGGCTTGGTGCTCCAGATGGGACCGGGGACACTCCCTGCCCTTTTGTGCATAGTGCAAGTGTAGAAGATTTTAGGTGTGTGGTGGCCTCTGGATCAGAACTCCGGGTCTCGGACCCAGGGTAAGAGGCGATGCCTCTCAGGGGAGTGCCATTCCCAGGCTCAGGCCTGACGTGAGAAGAGATCATGGCTCTTTCTGGGGCCATGGGGGTGTGCACAGATGCAGTGTGACCATAGGGCACCCAGGGAGAGCACAGCTGGTCGGGGGAGAGAGGAGACTGTGAGAGGCTACAGGTACTGACCACTGGAGGGTCAGAGATGGCAGCCAGTGACAGCCTTTAGGGTCTAGTGAAGGAGCCCGGGCTGGACCCAGCAGCTGTAGATAGACCCATATTTTGTTGGAAACATTTTTCACCACGAGGGACCCGGTCCAACGTTGGCGTTCACTGTGCATTCCCACCCTGTTCCGTTGAGTCTGAGTTGGGATGGAACCCCGAGTTGGCCTCCTGTGGGCTCTTGGGAGGAAGCCAACCCCCCCCCCCCCCCAGAGCTGGGCACTGTGAAAGAAGGGGCCTTCCGCTGGCTGCTTCCCGCCCACAGCCCTGCAGGACGAGCGGAGGGCCATCTTTACAAGTCCCCGGTGAGTCTGCTGCGGGTGGTCCGAGCACTGACTCCGGGGTTCAGTTCATGCGCTCTATCACGCTGACTAGCATATTTTAAAATCTTGTTTTATTTTTGAGAAGGAAATCAAGAGGAACAATTTTCCTTCTTGATTACCTTCCCACCCACTTAGTGTTTCTTGTTCATGCTGCCGCCAGCAGAGCGTGGATGGGAGCTTTAGAAACAGCCTCTGTCGCAGACAAACAGGTGCACCCCAGGCCCAGCGTCGCCACTCAACCCCAGCCAGCAGGGGGCAGCGAGGAGCTGGCTCTCTCCCACCTTTCCCCGGGGACTGCCGGCCTCCGAGGTCTCTGGGTCTCCTTGCACCTCCATCGCTGTCACGTGGGAGACAGTTCAATGAAGTCTCAACTTGCCCCCCATCTTTGTAGGGAGACTGAGGAACAAGATTGGGGGGCTGCAGCTGGCCCCTGGTCCCTCTATCCCCCCTCAAAGGAGAGGCAATCATACGTGTTCAGGCGGCCTGGACAGTCTATTCTGTTGGAAGCATTTTAATGTTGTTAAGCTTTTCTAATATACAAATATAATACATGCTTCTTAAGGAAAATAGAATTGAGAAAATTCCCTGCAATTTGCATTCGACACAGCCACCTGCCAGTCCTCTCTGCCTGGCTGGAGACATGGAGGTTCACAGATGGGTAGCTTTATGGAAGTGTAATCATATGTACTTGCTGTTTTGCAGCCTGTTATTTTTTTTTATACATAATATAAACTTTTTCTAGGTAAGTAAATATCATCCTTTTTAAAAATATATGTTTTTATTGACTTCACAGAGAGAGAGGAGGAGGAAGGGAGAGGGAGAGGAAGAAAGAAGCATTGTCAGGAGAGAATCCTCACTTGGCTGCCTCCTGCACACCTCCCCTCCTGGGGATGGAGCCTGCCACCCTGGCTTGTTCCCCGACCAGGAACTGAACCAGTGACCTCTCAGTGCATGGGGTGACGCTCAACCACCTTAGCCACGTCGGCCAGGGCTGACTACCATCTTTTTAATGGCCGCATGGTATTCCATGGAGCAGAGAACCTGTTCTTTAGCCTACCCCTCCCAACATGTAAGTTATTTCCGTTTCTTTCCTGGCTCTGAGCAGATTGTACACTGGTCTGCACATCTCCTTAGAATACATTTTCACCTGTGGGTACAGCTGCCGGAGAGGGCGTGTCCGCCTGCAGTGCTGGTGTGTTTATGCAGGTGCAGTCTCGGGCCAGCCTGGACCGACGTGCACTTTCACCCTTACTTCCCCCACTGCAGGGAAACCCTGAATGTCAACATCGAGCTTCAGGAACTGCAGAAGGTTATGCAATGAATCTCGCCTGCGGCCCCATGCAAATCAGTGTGGCCACAGAACCCACATTGGCATCTAACACCCTTTCTGTTGAGAGCTAGACTTGAGGACTCCTCTGGAGTTGAAAATAACTGTAAAAGCCAGCCCTTTCATCAGATAGGTAAGAAACCATGGCTCAGAGAGGGCAGTGGCCTTCCCAGGCAGCAGCAATGCACACAGGACACCCAGTCTAGTGTCTCTCCCATCCCCCGCCCCCCGGCACCTTCCTCCCCCCAGGTCTCCCCCCCGCGCCCAACTACCTCCTCATACTCTGCAGTGAGTCCTTAAGTTTCCCAGTCACCCATACACTGCACCTTCCCCAGCTTGCTCAGTACCCTGAGGTGGGCTCAAGCCTTCTCCCCACTCAGCTCAGGGTCCGCTCCCATGCTGCCCAGGAATGCCCACCAGGGGGTGGTATTGCATCTCCCTGGATGGGTCTGCAGTTTGCAGCTTAGGCCCTGGCAGCAACCCCCCAATGGTTTTTGGTTATGTTTTGTTTTTTAATATATATTTTATTGATTTTTACAGAGAGGAAGGGAGAGGGATAGAGAGCTAGAAACATCGATGAGAGAGCGTCATCGACCAGCTGCCTCCTGCACACCCCCTACTGGGGATATGCCCGCAACCAAGGTACATGCCCTTGACCGGAATCGAACCCAGGACCTTTCAGTCCCCAAGCCAACGCTCTATCCACTGAACCAAACCGGTTTCGGCAACCCTTCAATGGTTTTTAAGGGGACTCTCCCCTCACTCCCAAAGGTGCTTAACGTTTGGGGCTGTCAGCCTCCTGCTTCTGGGGACTGTGGGCTCCCGTTGTTAGGACAGGTCCCGGCGTCCCTCCTATGTGAGTGCTCCGTCCACACTCCCCGCCTGCCTCTCCCTGTGACACCATTGCCAGAGGCCACTCTGCTTCTCTGCTGTTGCCTCTTCCAACCGGGCCTCATCTGTTAAGGCCCAGATATTCTTTCGCGTCCTAGCTCCGTATTTCCAGCTCCCTCCTGGGCACCTTCACTCAAGGCTGCTCAGGGTTGGCACTTGTGGTGCTTTAGGATGGACACTTCTTTGCCGTGGGGGGCTGTCCTGTGCGTTGTAGGGTGTTCGGCAGCATTCCCGGCCTCTGCCGGCTAGATGCCAGTGGCACCCACTTGGTTTTGGCAACCAAAAATATCTCCAGTCATTGCGACATCCGGGACGGAGGGGAGAATTGCCCTGGTTGAGAACCGTTGCCTTAGCTGGACTCAACATCATCAAAACAAAACTGAGCCCTGCTCCTCCCCTTCCTTTTCCCCAACTGGAGCGGGGTTGACCAGATGCCACGAGATTCTAGCATGGCTCCAAGCATAATAACAGCAGGCCGACAGAGGGAAAGGAGGCAGGATCACAGAATTCCGAGAGTTGGGAGAGGCCCCTGAGACCCTGAGCTCAGGTGTGCTGTGCTCCTGGGGCCTTCTTTCCTTTCCGCAAAGAAGGTCTCAGGTCCTTCCCGACGCTCCGTCTGGTGGGTCCGAGTGGATGGGAAAGGGGAACCTCCAGGCTACCCCTGCCCAGACCCACGGCCTCATGTTTACCTGCGCAGGTTTAGGGCAGAGCTGAGTGGTGGGAAAGCGTCTTTGACATGGCTTTTGGCTGTGCTTATTAGAGACCATGTGGCATCGCGTAGTACTGTGCCCCCCCCCATCCAGTCCTGACACAGAGTTGGTGTTCAGTAAATGACTGAATAAATCATTTTAACAGTGACTGTCTCTGGGTGGTGGGATCAGGGGTGACATTTTAATTTTAATTTTTCTCTTTTTCATTTTCTTTTTTTAAAAAAAAAATATATATTATTGATTTTTTTACAGAGAGGAAGGGAGAGAAATAGAGAGCTAGAAACGTCGATGAGAGAGAAACATCGACTAGCTGCCTCTTGCACACCCCCTACCGGGGATGTGCCCGCAAATGCCCTTGACCGGAATCGAACCTGGGACCTTTCAGTCTACAGACTGATGCTCTACCACTGAGCCAAACCGGCTTCGGCTTCATTTTCTTTTTTTAATACATTTTTATTAATTTCAGAGAGAAAGGGAGAGGGAGAGCAAGATAGAAACATCAGTGATGAGAGAGAATCATTTATCAGCTGCCTGCTGCACGCCCCCTACTGGGGATTGAGTACACAACTGGGCATGTGCCCTTAACCGGAATCGAACCTGGAACCCTTCCGTCCGAAGGCCAATGCTCTATCCACTGAGCCGAACCAGCTACGGTGCTTTCTTTCTTTTTTTTTTCTTTTCATTTTCAAAACCTTCTAAAATTGAGAGTGTTTATTACCCCGTAAAAAGGCAAGAAAACCCGTCACCACTTCCCCCTAAGCCAGAGAGGAAAGGGTCCCTGCCTCACTCCTCATGTCTTGCTTCCCCAGGTCTGACCCACGGGAGACATGGCCACCAGCGCCGTCCCCAGCGACAACCTGCCCACCTACAAGCTGGTGGTGGTGGGGGACGGGGGCGTGGGCAAGAGTGCCCTCACCATCCAGTTCTTCCAGAAGATCTTTGTGCCTGACTACGACCCCACCATCGAGGACTCCTACCTGAAGCACACTGAGATTGACAGCCAGTGGGCCATCTTGGACGGTGAGGCCCGGCTGGCAGCCCTGCGGGGGACTGGGGGCGCGAGGCCGAGGGTTGGGGAGAGTCGACAGGCTACAGGAGTGGGGCGTGATGGTTTTCCTCAAGTTGCCGTTAGGGAGCAGTTGGTGTTATGAGACAGTTGGTCCAAGGCCATGGACGGTTTCCAGGGTGAATTCTGAACAGCTTTGTGGAGACCAAAATGTGTGTTCAACCGAGAGACAGGGCGAGACTCACGCCAACCCGGTGATGTCATGTTGGTTATTTCTTGCTGATCAGAAGCTCTGATTAGCATTTGCAGATGTCTGTAGCTAATAATAATAAATAAATAAAAAAAGTGGAAAATAAGTTTCTCAATTCAACATCGTTCATTTGGTAGATGGCCCTTGGAGGGGGAAAACTTGCATCTGAGATTGTGTTTCTACTTGAGCCTAAACTGGTCTGGATTAGCAGTTCTCCATGTGTGGCAGCCAGGCCTGCGGCAGTATCGTCACCAGGAAACTTGTCAAAACTGAAATCCCCCAAGCCCTACTGGTTCAGAAATTCTGAGGGTGAGGCCCAGCAGTCTGTGCTTTCATAAGCCTCCAGGTAATGTTGAATTTAGAGAGCCACTATTCTAGATTCCTTCTGATTATCACGTTATACTCCGGGTCTCTCTCGCTCTCTCTCTTAAACAAAACCATTAATCATAGACTGTCATTGTAGCAGGGAAGCTTTGAAAACCACTGGGATGTAAGTCCTCTGCCAGATGTGTGATCTGCGAATGTTTCCTCCCAGCCTGTGGCTTGTTTTTCATTCTCTTTACAGCGTCTGTCAGAGACCAGATTGTTAAAATGTCCCGAAGTCCTGTTTATTGGTTTGTTCTTTTCTGGACCGTGCTTTTGATGTGCTGAGAAATCGTCATCTAACCCAAGGTCACTAAAGTTTTTCCCATTATTTTCTTCTAGAAGGCTGATGGTTTTAGGTTTATCCTCTCCCCGGAGTTAACATTTGTATATGGTTTGAAGCATGGAACAAAGTTCATTCTTTTGTATATGAATATGCAATTGTTCCAGCACTATTTGGCGAAAGACTGTCCTTTCCTGACTGATTGTCTTTTGTGTCTGTGGTGAGAATTGTTTTATCTGTTTTATTTCTTTAATCTATATGTCTATTTTAACACCAGTACCCCACTGTCTTGAAAACTGTAGCTTTATAATGAATCTTGAAATCAGGGACTGTTAAATCTCCAACTTTGTTCTTTTTCAAAGTTGTTTTGGCGAGTCTAGGTCCTTTGCATTTCCATATAAATGTTAGAATCGGTTAAATTCTAAAGCTCTAGATTTTAGTGAGGATTGTATTGAATATAAAGGTCCATTTGGGAGAATGAACATCATAACAATGTTGAATTCCCAACCCAGGAGCACAGTACCCTCTCCATTTATTTACATCTTTAAGACTCTAGTTAATTGTTTTGTAGTTTTGAGTGTTTGGGTCTTTTATATAAGTTGTCAGATTCATACCTACATCTGTATTATAAATGATATTCGGGTGTTTTTTTAATTTCAGTTTTCAATTATTTGTTGCTAGTATATAGAAATACTATATATCCTTGTATATTAATCTGATAACCTGAAACATTGTTAAATTAAATTATTCTAGCTTTTTTTTTTTGTAGATTCCATTGGATTTTCTGAATAGATGATCATGTCTATGAGTAAAGATGTAAAGATAGTTTTATTTCTTTCCAATCTGGCTGGTTTTTATTTCTTTTTTTCTTGCCTATTTCACTAACACAAAGACATACTTGTTCTTGATCTTAAAGGGAAAGCTTTCGCTCTCTGCATTAAGTTTGATGTTAGCTGTAGGTTTTTAATAGATGCCTTTTATCAGGTTGAGGAAGTTCCTTTCTATTCCCAGTTTGCTGAGAGTTTTTATTGGGAGTGGATGTTGGATTTTGTCAAATGCTTTTTCTGTGTCTACTGAGATAACCATACGATTTTTCTTTTTTAGTTTGTTAATATGAAAAATTAACATTGGTTTTTCTAACCTTGAACAAACATTGCACCCCTGGGATAAACTTTACTTGTTCATGATGAATTGTCTTTTTATATATTCTTGGTTTTGATTTGCTAAATTTTGGTTAGAATTTTTGCATCTATGTTCTTGAGAGATACTAGTCTGTAGGTTTCTTGTAATATTGAATAATGTTGAATATATGAAGTGAATGGGGAAGCATGCCCTCTTCAACTTTATGGAAGAGTCTAAACAAAATTGGTATTATTTAATGTTTAGTAGAATTCACCTAAGAAGACATCTGGGCCTGAGGTTTTCTTTTTAGGAAGATTTTAAACTACAAATTCAATTTCTTTAATAGGGCTGTTTAGGTAATCTATTTTCTTTTTTTCCAGGGAGCTTTGGTAGTTTGTGTCTCAAAATTTTTTTAGTTCATCAAAGTTATTGAACTTATTGGCATAAAGTTGTTCCTAATGTTCTTTTATTGTCCTTTTAGTATCTGTAGAATCTGTAGTGATGTTACCTCACTCATTCCTGATATTGGTAGTTTGTGTCTTCTCTTTTTTTTCTCTTGATCATGCTGGCTAGAGATATATCAATATTATTGATTTTCTCAAAGAACCAATTTTTAGTCCATTGATTTTTTTCCATTTGGCTCCACTCTCATCTGTATTTTTACCTTTTATCTGCCTGTTTTGGATTTGACTTGCTCTCCTTTCCTAATTTCTTAAAGCAGAACCCGATGTCATAGATTTGAACATTTGTTTTTTCCCTGGTATATTCATTTGGTGCTTTAAATCTCCCCTAACTACTCAGTTAGCTGCATCCCACAAAACGTAATAAGTTATGTTTTTCTTTTCATTCAGTTCAAAATACTTTCTAATTTCACCTTTGATATCTTCTTTGACCCCTTGGTTACTTAGAAATATATTATTTAGTACTCAAGTATTTAGGAATTTTCCAGAGATCTTTCTTCCATTAATTTATGTTTTAATTTCATTGTGCCAGAGAATAAACAGTATATCATTTGAATTCTTTAAAACATATTGGGGGTGGGGAGCCAGGGCTGGAAGAGGAGTGGGCAGCTGGAAGAACCATCTAGGCAAAGAGTTCCTCCCAACCATGCCCTCTCCTCTCACGGTCAAAGTCACAAATCTAAGCATCTAAGAATGTTGGTGTGTGTGTGTGTGTGTGTGTGTGTGTGTGTGTGTGTGTGTATGTGTGTGTATTTTTAAAAGGAGGAATTGACAAGTCTCATAATCATTGTGGAAAAATTGAATGGGCTTCCCTTAGAGATGAACAAGTGGACAAGAGACAGAGAGAACACACTTCACACTCAAAAAGAAAATAAGTCTTTTCAAAACACATGAAATCACCACCAAAATTGGCCATATGTTAGGCTATAAATAAAAATGTCAACCAATTCCAGAAATCATAGATCATGTGAGCCATCTTCTGCCTATAACGCAATAAGATCATAAATCAACAGGAACATGGGTATAAAAGAATCCAGCCACTCTTTGCCGAGATGGTTCTCCCAACTCCCCACTCCTCTTCTAGCCCTGCCACCCCTCCCCACCCTGCCACCCCTCTGACATCCTCATCCTCGGAGACAAAGGGCCCTGGCTCTCAGGGGCCACTCCTTCTCCTGGGCCCTCTGGGTGTCTGTCCACTTGGCTGAGGAGCCCCCTAACCCAGTGGCCCCTTCAGGCTCTCCCTGGCACACCCACAGACAAGCCGCCCTCCCGGGGCTGCAGGCAGGCACGCTGTTTCCACTTACAGAGGAGGAAAGAAGCTGAGTCAGACAGCTTCCCCAAGCATCCCTTTGGAAGGGCACACGGGGAGCTATGCCCGGGCCAGAGGGACGTGGGAGCCCCACAATCACAGGCCTTTCTGTAGACAGAGAACTATGGCCTGGGGAGCACCTTGGGTTGGGATCTGTGGGGGCCACAGGCACATCCATTAGAGCCTCTCACAGAGGTGTCTGAGGCCTGACAGGACCCCCAGCCCAGCCCAGGGGCCTTGTCTTACGAGGACAGTTTGGATTGAGCCACTGAGGGGACGGCAGCAGTGTGGGGTCTGCAGGCTGTGGTGGGGGTGTGGGGGGTGGGAGCTCCGGGTGGCTGGTGACAACCCTGACTGGCCCATCCCGCCCCAGTCCTGGACACGGCCGGGCAGGAGGAGTTCAGCGCCATGCGGGAGCAGTACATGCGCACGGGCGACGGCTTCCTCATCGTCTTCTCGGTCACGGACAAGGCCAGCTTCGAGCACGTGGACCGCTTCCACCAGCTCATCCTGCGCGTCAAGGACAGGTGGGCACGGCGGGCACGGTGGGCGGGCTCCCCGCTCCTGGCTCCGGGCAGCCTCTGCCTGTCCGTCTGTCTGTCTGTCTGTCTGAATCTCCCTCAGATTTTCAGGTGGAAGCTGAGGCACGAGGGCCAGAGCTGGATTCAGACCTCGTTCCTTCCAGCTCCCACCCTGGTTCTTTCTATGGGGTCAGCCTGTTCCAGTTTATCCCATGTCTTATTACAAAGAAAAGTGAATTTTTTCCCCCCTCCTCCAGGATACCTTGTAATTGGTTAAATTGCATTTGAATCTGAGCTCCCCAACTAAAGGCTCTTTGTCCCCCCCCTTAGCTTATATGGAGCAGTTAAATAATTTGGAGTCTGTTTTAAGCCGGATTGGTTTCCTCCAGTTAATTGCATCTTAAAGAGGCGATGTAAAGAAAATAAAAGGGCAAAGTTTGAGCAAATCTCAGTGAATTCCAAAAATTCAGTTAACACCTATTCCAAAGGCAAAATGTTAATAACTTCATAAGGTAAAGGGATACACAGTTCTCGTTCTCTCTCTCTCTCTCTCTCTCTCTCTCTCTCTCTCTCTCTCTCTCTCTCTTCCCTTCCCCCGCCCCCGCTCCCCATGCACATGCTCACATACACTCACACATACAAAGCTCTAAGAGAGAAATGTGGGTTAAATCCCTGACCATAGCAATCTCAAAAGAGAAAACATAAATGACTCCAATGTGGGAAAATACTCAACCTTCTAGCTATTAAAGAGGTGCAAGGAGCCGGGACCGGTTTGGCTCAGTGGATAGAGCATCGGCCTGCGGACTGAAAGGTCCTGGGTTCGATTCCGGGCAAGGGCATGTACCTTGGTTGCGGGCACGTCCCCAGTGGGGACTGTGCAAGAGGCAGCTGATCGATGATTCTCTCTCATCGAGGTTTCTAACTCTCTATCCCTCTCTCTTCCTCTCTGTGAAAAATCAATAAAAAATATATTTAAAAAAATAAAAAATAATTGATGTTTCTATCTTAAAAAAAAAAAAAGAGGTGCAAGGAGATATAGTCAATCCCATTCCCACCTGTCCAGGTGTGATTTTCTTAGTAGAAATAGCCGGCGCTGACAGCTGCTGGCAGGAGGGATTTGTTCGCTTTGGACGGCCTTTGGCCACGTGTGTCGATGGGAGTCTCTAGGGCAGACATGCCCCTGGATCCCGCCCTCTTCCTGGGAGCCATCCTGATCCTGCAGCCGCCATTCACCGAGCACCAACTGGGCGACACCCCGAGGCCCTGTTGCTCTTACCAAGTCATTGCTGATGGCCACGGCAGCCGGCACGGTTGGTGCGTCTGGGTGGCCGGAGGTGGAAGGAAGCAGGTCTGGGAACCCAGCCCCTGGCCCAGGGCCCCTCAGTGTCCTCACTCTCAGTGCTGAGCCAGGGGGCTCCCCGAGGGCCCCTCGCTCGCTCGCCTTGTGACAGGCCTGAGCCTCCCAACCAGGCAGGCAGCGGCCTGGGCCCGCTCCCTCCCGGAGGTGCTGTGTGCTGTGCTAGGCCTGTGGTGTGGCTACGCTGGCTTAGCGGGCGGGGACAGCGAAACCTCACACGCTGCTGTTCCTTGTTGCCCAGGGAGTCGTTCCCCATGATCCTCGTGGCCAACAAGGTGGACTTGATGCATCTGAGGAAAATCACCAGGGAGCAAGGAAAGGAAATGGCGACCAAACACAATGTAAGCTGCGTGCGTGCGTGTGCGTGTGCGTGTGCGTGTGTGTGTGTGTGTGTGTGTGTGTGTGTGTTGGGCCTGGTCTGTGTGGATGGAACTTGAGCCTCCCCGGGAGTGGGCTGAGATATTTTGTGAAACAGAACAACGGGCCCAAGAGAAAGCACCCTCTTGTCAGTCATGAGAGGCTCTAGCGTGGGGAGCAGGTCCCTTCGCGGTGGACTGCAAGCTGAGGGCCAATGGGCCCGACTCAGCAGAGCGTCGCTGGGCTGTGCCGAGGGCGGGCTCCGTCCTGTCCCCGGGCTGGTGGCCTGATGATGCTCAGACTCATCGGGCCGGCTGCCAGGCGCTGTGCTGGGGCACCTCACCACCACACGCTGAGGCGGATCCGGGTATCTCCCGCTCTCACGGACTCACCCTGAGGCCGTCCAGGCCGGTGTCAGCAGACATGCCGTGCTGTGTGTAGTTGTCCAGTTTCTGCGAATAGTTCATCATCCCTCTGCCGGCTGGATGGTGCTGGGGCTGAATTCTGTTTTTAAGGAGCCACTGCATATCTCTGTGGCTAGAGAGCAAGAGGGGATTGGAAAAACTGCCAGTGAAACTAGCAGAGGGAGAAGCCGCCGAGGGACGTGGGGATGTCGGGCCAGGGTTCCGGGGGCTGTGAAAGCATCGGTTCCCCAGGGCCCTGGGAATTCACCTTGGTGCCCCTTTCACCGAGAGTGCGCCCTGCCTTCCAGATCCCGTACATAGAAACCAGCGCCAAGGACCCGCCTCTCAACGTGGACAAAGCCTTCCACGACCTGGTCAGAGTGATCAGGTGAGCACAGCGCCCGCCCAGAAGCAGGGCCTCTGGGCAAGGTGGGCACCAGGGGGGCCAGTCCTGAGGGAGGCTGGGCACTTCTGGGCCCGTTTTTACACTTCTCCACCCTCCCCACTCCCCACCTCCCTTTGCTCACCCCACTGCCTCTGAGTGAAGCATCACTAGCTGAGGGAGGTGCCTGCTGCCCGAGGCTCCAGCTTCTCTCTGGGCTCCTTGGTCCTCCAGCGTGGCCTCCCCGAGGCAGCGCCCTCCATCCTGCCCTCCGTGTCCCCCAGCCCCGCAGCCGCCCTCGGACATTCCACCTGATCACCCAGCATTCTGACTCCCGGGCTCACATCTCGGGGGGTGTTTAGCGTGTGTCCCTTTGTAGACCCCACACCCAGTCCGCCTGCAGGATTGTCAGAAATCCCAGTCAGGGGCCTCTCATACGTTCCTGCGCAGTCACCAGGTGCTGAGGTGACTGACTCAGCTTTCCGGCTGGTCTCCCTGTCACCCACCTTTCCTGTTTCCAATGTCTTCAAGTTAGGTGTGAAACACACACCACACACACACACACACACACACACACACACACACACGGTCTCCCAGCACGGGCTGTGCCGTTGCTGGCTGCATCTTCTGCACTCTCGAAATTATTTTTCTCCTGGGTATTTTGCTTCCAGTTAGGATATGCTATCACCAGGAGGTGGTGAAGTCTTGGTTACGATCTGTAGTTCCCAGGAGAGGTTTTAGACATAGGAAATATGAACAGAAAACATGTCTTGAGCTTGTACGCAGCTGACCTGCCATTTTATTTAAAATATGAAACATGGAAATAGAGGCGAACATTGCATAACACATAACGCAAAGTATGATTTTTTAAAAATATATTTTATTGATTTTTTACAAAGAGGAAGAGAAAGGATAGAGAGTTGGAAACATCGATGAGAGAGAATCATCAGCTGCCTCCTGCACAACCCCTACTGGGGATGTGCCCACAACCAAGGTACATGCCCTTGACCGGAATTGAACCTGGGACCTTTCTGTCCGCAATCCAATGTTCTGTCTACTGAGCCAAACTGGTCTCGGTAACATAGAGTATGATTTAACTCGATGGAGCCACAGCACGATGGCAGCAGTTCTCACCAGTAGGATGAGAGACACTGTCTACTCTAGGCCATGCCCTCCTTCAGCACCTAGGACAGCAGCACCTATGCCAGCCCTCCTCCCCCATCCTCATCCCCAGCCCCATCCCCATCCCCATCCCCATCCCCACCCCCAGCCTCCCTGCCTCAGACCCAGGCACAGGGAGAAGCAAAACTCATTCTGACGTTGATTTTCTGCCTCTCATTGTCTCAAAAGGCAACAGATTCCAGAAAAGAGCCAGAGGAAGAAGAAGAAAACCAAATGGCGCGGAGACCGGGCCACTGGTACCCACAAACTTCAGTGTGTGGTGTTGTGATGGGCCTGGGGCCCTGGGCACAGTCACCGTGAACTGGCCAGCCCTCGGGACCCCTCCGCTGCCTGACCTCACCGGGAACTGTTTCTAACCATCACCCTTGACCCGAGGACTGGGCACAGGAAGGGAGACAGGGAGGGTGGGCAGGGAGGAAGGGGGGCCCGGCTTCCTCCAAAGGGCACAGCTTCGTGTCTCAGAAGACACAGCCTCCGAGCCCCGCCTGTGACTCAGCCGGCACCTCCCATCTCCTGGCGGCTGTGTTGTTTCTTTGAACTACGAGGTGTGGGTTCGAGGTGGACGTTTACCCACCCCGTACAGCGTACGGAACAAGCCATGGCCCAGCTCCCCTCTTGTCTCCAGCCCTCCGTGTCTGAGCTTGGGCGTCTTTTATAGGTTTTTAAATTATTTTCGTGATCACTGTTGTCTCGAGGGGGTCCATGCCCACTGTCTGGTAGACTTTCAGCTCTTCAGCAGATCCCCCCGACAGCACGTCCGGAACATCGCGGTGGTTTCTCGCTGAGTTTTCCCGGCAGTGCCAAACGCACCTCACTATGCAGGACTGAGACCGGGGGACTGGAGTGACTGGGGCCCGAAGCTGGAGGCCTCGGGGGGGCAGCAGATCCTGCTCGAGGTCTGAAAACAGGAGCAACGAGAGCTGTGTCCAGCAGGAGGGTCTCACTGCAGCGATCCAGAAACAATCCCGTTTTGCTGAGGGGAGAGGCTAGAGTGAGCTTGTCAGTTCTGCAAGGTGTCTCGTTGTCCTGGAGATGTGAAGACTTGAGTGCACAGATCTGCCCAAGTGTCCGTGTCTTTCTCAATCGGCGTGGGCTCCGTGTGTCCCTCCCGCCTGTGACAGAGCTCCCCAGACCTGTCATCACAGACACACGGACAAGGCCTGCATGCTTCTCCAGTCCACAGTGCCCTCAGGGGGCGCCATCGGGGATTCTGGTTTGTGCTGAACCTTAAGCAGAAGGGATCCAATACTGCTGTTCCCTCAACCGCACCACAGCCCGAAACCGTGCTCCCTCTGCGTCACCCGACGGCCACGCCGAAGCCCAGCAAATCGGCTACAGAGTCAGCGTCCGGCCGGCTTCCCGGCACATGCTGTCACTGACCTCTCGGATCCTCACTCTCACGGGCGACCGGAGGAGAGAGGAAGGTTGAGGTGAAGACATTGTTCCCACCCACCCCGTTTCTACGAGGGGACAGTCCCCCAGCTCCCTGGTGACATCCCCACCCCCACCCTCAGTGCTGCCGCTGAGAGCCAGGCTGGATCTGGGGCCAGGGTGGGGGTGCAGGGGCAGCAGGCACGGCAGTGACCCCTGAGAGGAGGTCAGAGGTGAAGTGGTGCATCTTTGTGATCTTATTTTTCCAAATGTTACCAATCGGGTCACCGGGCAAACTAGAGCAGCCCTCGCAGGAGGCCTGGCCACTGTTTGGAGAAAGGACACGGTGGGGGTGGGAGGAGGGGGAGGGGAGTGAGTGCCCAGCTGGAGGTCGGGACACCGGATCCTCCTCCAGTTCTGAGGGAGAGCTGAGGGGCCAGCCCAGAGGGATCTGACAGCCGGGAGTTTTGCTGGTTGGAAATCAAACTTCTTTATGTGTCTAAATGCCCCTCCCCCCCCCCTTTTTTTTTTCTGACCCTAAAAGAAAGGACAATAGAGAACATTCCAGGTCAGGCACCTCACAGCTCCCCAAGAACCTGCCATGTTAACGAATGTGCATCTTGGGCACTAACAGGACCAGGCTCTTCCCAACCCGTAAGCTCCCCGGAGCCTGGCGGCAGGGGGGGGGGCGGAGATGTTTGCATCGAGGCAGCAGTGGGTGGGACCAGGGGCAGCGTCCACTGTAAGAAACCATCTACTGGGCACTGGCCACCACCAGCGCCCCTGCCCCCGGGGAGCCGGCTGCACCCTGAGCACTGTGTGGGGAGTCTCGGAAGCAGTGAGCTGACCTACAGTGAAGCCCTTAGCCGGGAAGGTAACAGACAAAGGGGTTCCAGCCGCCCCCGGGCCCCCCGCCCTGCCTGGCCCCTCTTCCAGGCCAGCCATCCTGCCCCCGGCCCTCCGTGCCCAAGGGAGGGGACCGGGTCAGGGTGGCCTCTGCTGCGGAGCCAGTGGCCAGCTCCACCTCCATGGCCTCCTCCTCCTCACAGGCACGCTGGGAAGATAACACTTCTAAAAGGCAGCTCTTTGGGTGTGAGCGAGCCCTCGAGGCCAAGAAGCCTTCCAGACAGGCCCGGGTGGGGTGTGCCCTGGGGCCGCCCCAGCACAGCGTTTAATCCAGGGCCCCCCGGCAGGTCAGGCCTGGAACCCGCTGGCCCCCGTCCCCTCCCCGGTGGCTGAGGAGCCCAGCGGGACTTGTGTCTTTTGCGACATCCCGGGCTTCCCACTGTTTACCCAGACGAGCTGAATAGGACATCCCCTGGAGCACCCCCTTCCTGAAACCCCCCACCCCATGCCTTCGCCACTGTGTGCTCCCAGATCTCCTCCTAAAACCCCGACACCCTCCCCCCGTCCACTGCAAGGGCTCCCTTTCTCCCCAGCTGGCCATCCTGGCCGCCCTCCCACCCCCACCGCCGGGGTACGGCCCGGACTCCCCCGGCCCTTTGCCACGCAACGTGGATGCTTCTTCTTAGAGAAGAAGCGCGCGGCGGGGGGGGGGGGGGGGGGGCATCTCTCTCTAACTCAAAGGGCCTTCCACGTGTGACGACCGTCAACCCAGAGCCATAGCCAAAGGGCTGCCCCCAGGAGCAGCCCGCCGGGTTCGGAATCCCGAGCCGGTTTACTGAGGACGAAAGATACTTGAATCGCGGAGCGCCCGGGAGCACCCGCGTCCGCTACGCAGTGTTCGCGGGGGGGCCGTTGTCGTGAGACGAGCGCGGTGCCTGGCCATCGCGACGATGCTTGAGCCTCTTCTGTAACTTTTTATCCAGTCTTTGTGTATCTCCGCTCATTAATAAAGAAACAAGGAGGAGCGCGGGTCTGCCTGCCTTCCTCTCCGGCGAGCATTCCTAACGTTTTGCTGACAGCCTTGTCAGTTGACAGTGCCTGGCTCAGAATACCCACCTCTTACAGGCGAACCTGAGGTCAGGAGACCACGGTGTGTGTGTGTGTGTGTGTGTGTGTGTGTGTGTGTGTGTGTGTGTGCGCGCGCGCGCCCTGAAGGTGTTTCCTTCCCCACAGAGCCCGGAGCCTGAGGGGGAGGCAGGTGGGTGGAGACGCAGCCCCGTGAGGTTCGGGCAGCCCTGGAGTGGAGCTTTGCCACCCACCTTCCTGGGCCTCTGAGCACGTTCCCTGCTTCCTGCTCAGCTGCCCCTCCCAGGAACAGGGAAGGAGTGGGCTCCTCCTAGGCAGGCCGAGGGGGCTCCCAGCGAGAAAATGTGCTCTGTGTAGCGGCCCCCGTGGGGCTGTCTGATGTGCTTTTCATAGAAACCGCCCCCGCCCCCGTTGCAAAGATCACAGCCGATGTGGTTTCATTTTCCTCTTGATTGAACCTGGTGGGTACTTGACCAGGCGAAGCCCCTCTCTTCTGTGTCATCTGGGTTCTCTCTCTCTCTCTCTCTCTCTCTCTCTCTCTCTCTCTCTCTCAGATCTTTCCCATCTTAACACAAACAAGAACAAAATCTTCCTTTGACCCACGTCCTCCGCCAGGTACGACCCGTTGCTTCTCTGCTCTCGTTTGTACAATAGAAAGGGGTCTTCAGAGAGGAGCCTACACTCCCTCTCAGGAGCCCCTCTCATCCCTTTCTCTTTAGACTGCTCCCAAGAGGCATTCACCCCGGCCCTTCCGCCACCTTCTTCAGGGTCTCCAGCGGCTCCCGCCATATTAAATCCAGTGGTGGGCGCGGTCTTCTCACCATTGATCTCCTTACAGCATGGACACAGTGGACCACTCCAGTGCTCGGCAAACTCATTCGTCCACGGAGCCAAATATCAACAGGACAACGATTGGAATTTCTCTTGAGAGCCAAATTTTTTAACTTAAACTATATAGGTAGGTACATTGTTATTAACTTAATTAGGGCGCTCCTAAGCTGGCCTTTGCTAAAATCTCAAGGGGCCAAAGAGCCGCATGTGGCTCGCACAGTTGGCTGACCACTGGACTACTCCCTCTTCCTTGTGAAACCAAGAAAAGAAGGCTGAGTTCACAGGGACCCAGGAACGGGTGGGTGCATCCCGGCAGCGAGGTAAGTGTCAGCCGTGGACTCTGGTCACGCCGGCTTCCCGGCGCCTGCCCCTGCACGGATGGGCGGAGGTGGAATACCTGGGTGAGTGGTTCCCCACGTCTGGTCCCCAGGCCGGCAGCTTCAGCGTCACCGGGAACTTGTAGGAAATACAGATCGCCTGTCTCAGACCCGCCAAGCAAGGAATTTCACGTGGAGGAGGGTTTATCCGCCCTGCAGGGGATTCTGGGGCTCCCTCCGGTCTGAGAGCCTCTGAATTAGAGTGAAAACCCCGTCACACATAGGCCAGGGGCAGCCGGTTCGTTCCCACCTGCAAGACAGCAGCTGGCCGCCTGGACCAAGGGGCCCAGGTCCTTCCTGCGTCTGAACCCCAGGGGCCCTGCACATGCCGGATTGCGTGTATTCTGGGGAAACAACCGTTTTATCCGTCCTCACGGTGCCACCCAGCGTGGGTTCCCCAGAGAAAAAACGAGCTGGACCCTTGGACCGTCCTTTTCCAACGTCAGGCCCTTCTGGGTTTCACGGCCCCCGAGAGCGGGAAGAGGAAATGAAAGGAGCAGAGATCCACCTCCCCTTCTAAGGAGCGGACCGAGTTCTTCCCTTGGCTGACACGGCCCCGCACGCGCCCCCACAGCATCCTGAGGAAGGACCCACCTCCCTCCTCCCAGTTCCCCCCAGTGACTCAGCGTGCGGCCCACCCGTGACTCACCCCCCGCCTCCCCCGCCGTGGTTAGCAGCACCTGCCGCTCAGAATGGACGGAGAGGAAGTGCAATGCTGTGACAGCCCGGGAAGGACTCGGCTGGGTGGGAACCCTGCAGGGGACACAGGCAGAGGGGGGAGGTGAGGCAGGCAGCAAAGCCACCTCAAGTCCAACGCCATCCCCTGGAAGTCATCACCACCCACGCCAGTGGTTCGGAAAGGACTGTGCATTCGTCTTAGGGTCCCTGCAGGAGGTTGAGGGGTGGGGGGACATCTCGAGGCCCAGGCCACACCCGCGGAGAATCTGGAACAATGGGCCCGGGGAGGGGCCCGGGGATGGAGACTCCGTAAAGCTCCCCCGGGCGATTCGACGGCACAGCCAGGGCGGAGACCGTGAGAGGGTCCGTGGGGGTCTGGCCCCTTGAACTCTATGCTTCTCGGTGATGATGGGTTAACACAAGAAGCAACTGCCCGGAGGAACCCATGTCTGAGGCTGCGCAGGACGCCAGTTACCCGGCTTTGTCAGTGGGTGTCTGCCACAGGCATCTTCTCTCCTTGTCGGTGCTCCAGAGCCTGGCTTGACCTGCACAATCTGTCCTGATACCTCATTCCTTCACGTCCCCTTCCAAGTTTTTTTTTTTTTTTAAATACATTTTATTGATTTTTTACAGAGAGGAGGAGAGAGGGATAGAGAGCTAGAAATGTCAATGAGAGAGAAACATCGACCAGCTGCCTCTTGCACACCCCCTACTGGGGATGTGCCCACAACCAATGTACATGCCCTTGACCGGAATCGAACCTGGGACCCCTCAGTCCGCAGACCGACACTCTATCCAATGAGCCAAACCGGTTTCGGCTTTTTTTTTTTTTTTTTTTTTTTTAGTATATATTTTATTGATTTTTTTACAGAGAGGAAGGGAGAGGGATAGAGAGCTAGAAACATCGATGAGAGAGAAACATCGACCAGCTGCCTCCTGCACACCCTGTACCAGGGATGTGCCCACAACCAAAGTACATGCTCTTGACTGGAATCGAACCTGGGGCCTCTCAGTCCACTGGCCGACGCTCTATCCACTGAGCCAAACCGGTTTTGGCCCCTTCCAAGTTCATGGCAGGCCTGGTGGCACAAGGACACACAGTGTTTAGCAAAGGAATGGACCACGACGACAGATGCCTCCAAGCCTTAAAACTGAAGTCAGACAGGCTCTCACTGCCCTTCCCCGCTCCCGGCCCCATGGCCCATGGCGCCCCAAGGGCCAGGGGCTCAGTGGTTTCCACTTCTGTCTGTTCCATGGCCTCCCTGCCTCCGTTTCCACAAAGAAGCCCCACTCTCAGTAACCATCCCTGAGCCTTGCGGAGGTCCCAGGGCTGGTCCCTCTGCCGTCTGGGCCTCTCAATTGGCCACCAGCCCATGCCCCACGAGACACCCCCCACCACCACCAACAACCCCTGTCCTCCCCCACAGCCAGTCCCTCCCTCAGATCCTCTCACCTCTGCTGGTTTGCCTTCCTTTGCTGTGACCCCATAATCCCCCGCTGGGCTGACGTGTGGTTCCAGTGGTCACTCGGGGACCAAGGGTTCCATTTGCTCAGGACTGAGGGCTTTTCTGGGACATGGCCCTTCAGCACAGTCCCGGACACAACCATGTTCATATATCACCTCCTCCTCTCCCCCCCAAAAAAATAAGTCCAGCAGTTGGTCATCCCACTAGTAAGAATAAAACTTTCACCTTGTTCTAGCCCCGTGGTCGGCAAACTGTTGCTCGTGAGCCACATGCGGCTCTTTGGCTCCCTGAGTGTGTCTTTCCACAAAACACCACGGCCTGGGCGAGTCTGTTTTGAAGAAGTGGCGTTAGAAGAAGTTTAAGTTAAAAAATGTGGCTCTCCACAATCGTCGTCCTGTTGATATTTGGCCCTGTTAACTAATGAGTTTGCCGACCGCTGTTCTAGACACTATGAGTCACTGTAAATGAGGGGGCAGTTCTCAGACTTTATCAACCATCACAGCCATCTGGGAGCTGGATAAATGCAGGCTTTTCTGAACCAGCCGGCCTCGGGTGGGGCCCCAGACGTGGTCCGTATCGCAGCATCTCGGGGATGTGGTGCTGCTGGTCTGGCACCACACGCTGCACACCCCGCATTAGCTCACCCCTGTCAGTCAGCCACCGCGTGCCCTGCAGAGACCAGTGGCCAGCGAACATGCTGTGGAGCCCTCCCTGGAAGCCGGGCTCTGCTGTTCAGACACGGCACCTCGTGGCATCCCCACAGCAGGGACCCTGTGGTGGGCGATAGGGCGCTGTTCCACAGAGAGGGCCCCGAGGTCCCGGGAACCCAGGAGTGGCTGAGCCTGAACGTGCATCCTGTTCTCCCCTCCTCGGTCTGCCCCCGCCCCCGCCGAGCGAGCGGAGCCCCCGCTCGTCCCAGCTGCCCGCCCCACCCTCTCCATTTTCACTTGCTTCAGGAAAATCTTTCGATGCATCTCCCACTTCCCTGCCTTCTTTCTCCCGAATTGAACTGAATGCAGATCAGCTTCCCCTGGTGACTCAGCAGCAGCTTTGAACCGAGTTCGTTCACTGTCCTTTCCTGAGCGTCTGCACTGCGGCAGGGCACTGCAGTGTTCCTATAACAACCACCCCCCCCCAAAAAAAAAAAAATTAAGTCCAGGTTTTTGTTTTGCCTTTGTGGTTGGTATTGCTGAGCTTCTGCCGTCTTTGGGGCGCAGAGGCTGTGTGGGGCAGTGCCCAGGTCTAGCCCAGCTTTGCTGCTGGCTGCTGACCTTAGGCAGGCTGCCCACCCTCTCCATGCCTCAGCCTCCTCATCTGTCAAACGGGGTTGATGCTAATAATTGTACTTTTAGCGCTCTTGGACGCTTGTTGGGTTTGAATTGGACCTATACTTTCAGAAGAAATGGCCGGCTTAGAGACTCTCTAATTCAGTGTTAGCCAAGATCCCAGAATCAGGCCATTAGATGCTCTGGGAGTGCCTGCCAGCAAGTACAGCCGCCACTTAACTGAGCACTTAGCAGGTCCTAGTCGCTGTGCTTTGCATGGGTCACCTCTCATAGGTTTGGAGGAGCTGGGTGACATGCCAAGCTCTCTGCCCAGTGAGCAGGGTGCCGGGATCCCAGCCAGCCAATCATAGAGCATCCTCTGTGCCAGCCTTGCAGGGCCGGTCCTAGGCTGGGCACCGGCAAGGAGGCTCAGCCTCACGCCATCACCGCTCTCCCTTGATCACTAGCCTGGAAGGCTCTGCCCTGCACCCCCATCTCTGGCCACAGCTCCTGCCCCCCAGCCACTCCCCAGTTTGCCTCACCCCCATGGCCCAATGCGCTTCCCCTGCATGGCAGCCTCCACACCCACTCACTCCGCCTGCTGCCCTCCTCTTGGGAACCTTGGCTACTCAGAGCTTTGCTTTCACCAGGCCTTTTATGATGTAGATAACACACCCTGTCCTCATCAAAAAGCTTATGCTGGCCTGGCCATAAGGTCATGGTTCGATTCCCGATTCCTGGTCAGGGCACATGCCCAGGTTGCAGGCTCAGTCCCCGTTGTGGGACATGCAGGAGGCAGCTGATCAATGACTCTCTCTCATCATTAATATTTCCATCTCTCTCTCCCTCTCCATTCCTCTTGGAAATCAATAAAAAAAAAATACATATTTTTAAAAAGCTTGTGCTGGGATGGGCAGAGCTCTGAGCTGGGGAGAGGCTACTCCAAACTCCCTGCTCACTTTGCCCAGTGCCAAGTTCAAGGGCTTTGTCCCAACAGGCTTCCTAAGGATAGGGTGCAGAACCAACTGCTGTCTCCATCCCCAGCCCAGGTGCAGTGCCTCAGACCCTCAGTCTTTCTACAAACCCTTCAGTTGGACCTCTGGAGACAGTGAGATTCCCATTTTCTCTAACCACGCTCCTCCCCCCCGCCCGCTGAATCTTCTCGGCCAAGGTCACCAACTGCCCCCCAACCTCGTCAACATCACCAGGTAGAGCCAGGGGAAGGACAGTCCTGTGCTTTGCACTGGACAGTAGTGAGGGGTGAGGGGTTCTCTATCCACTGGGGGGTCCCCCAGCCACTGCTGGTTCCTGGGTCCAATGAAGGCCAGATTTCCATGGTCTGACGTGCAAAAATGTTCATTGTTCTTCCTTCTTCTTCACCTCTGTGAGGACGTTTTTCAGAAGCCACACATTTTCTCTGCGGGCCATGGTATCAAAGACTAGGGAAGAGAGGAATCTATTGACAGAGATGCCTCTCTTAGTTAGGCTAAGCGCTGAAGGTCACTTCCGGAGGGCTGCTCTGTGCTGGCCTAGCCTAGCCAACACTACACAGAGAGCATTCGTGCGAATGGCGCCCCCTGGCCCGCACAGCTGCCAGGACACCTGCTAAGAGTTTTCCTTGAATCTTCTGAGGAGGAGCGAAACACCTCTCAGGTGAGGAACTGAGCTTCGCCCCCAGGTTAATAACGCCCCCAGGTCTCACAGGCCTGAGAGGCACAGCGAGGACTTTGTGTGCTAGAGCTCCCTCACCTGGGAGCTCTTGCCTCTGTGTCGGTTGTGAGGATCCAGTGAGCTGATGCATTCAGAGAGCTTACCATACTCAGAAAGTTCTCAGTGCCCGAGAGTTGGTATTTTAGCATTATTCTTGCGGTAGCTCCAGCTGGTATTATTCCCATTTGAGGTTCTCACCCTTCACACCTTCCTCTTGCAGCCGGCTGGGCCTGCACCTGGGAAGTGCGACTGGTCTAGTGTGATTCTTGTCCACCAGGTGGCAGCACTGCAGAGCCCATGGGCGGTTCCTCTCTGTGTGGTTGTAGGGTAGCCCTGCGCTCCCAGAGGCCCCGGATGTAGGCCAGACCCTTCCCCTGCCTGCCCAAGCTCCACCTCTACCGTCTGGGGCTTCCTGCCCTCTAGGTCTGCTTGCACCCACATAAATGTGCACCCTGGGGACTCAGGGTCTGGACCATAGCGAGTTCACAGTGCAGTTTTGCCAGTGGTTCCCACAGGGGCAGGCCTTCTCAGGAACTGTTTGATGGAGCCTTCTGGGTCCAAACTTCCCCACAGGCCAGGCTGGCTCCTTCTGGACGCTCCGCACCACAGCCAAGCCCAATTTCTCACGGCTGATTTCAGTTGTCTTCAGGGGATGGATTGCTCCGTCTGCTTCAAGCTTCCCAGGTAAATACAAGGAAACGTGGGCCCCGGAAAGGAGCTGCAGACAGGCTCCGCACATGTTCACCGTCCCACCCTGCGACCAGCCAGCAGACCCCGAGTTCCTGACCCCCTATCTGTTCGCTGGGCAACCAGCATTTCACAGAATGTTGTGGGAGGACCTCAGTCACAGATGGAGTCTCTTAACAGGCTGATGCCAAAGCCCCACGCTGGGCCAGTGCTTCTCAAGGCGAAGTCCCAGGACCACTGCTACACATCACCTAGGAACTTGTAAAAAATGCAAATTCTTCCCAGTCAGAGACTCTGGGGCGGGGGCAGCAATCTATGGCTAACAAGCACTCCAGGTGACTCTGCGCCCTTGCGCCATTGCGCCATTGCGCCATTGCGCCATTGCGCCATTGCGGTTTGAGGCACGCTGGCCTGCCCTCCCCCTCGCCTGTGGCTGCAGGATCCTGCCCCGCAGACGTGGCCAAATCGCTCTCTCCAGAGGTCCGGTAGGTCTCAGTCGTCATTGCTAAGGGGCCAAGTGTTATGTCAATAGTGCGGGTAGTGGGTAGTGTGGTATGCCACCAGGCATGGCTGTGATAGGTATTTTCCCAGAGGAAGGTGCTCTAAGGCATTGGCGGTTTTAGCGTTTATCTTGATGGAAATGCGTAATGTTTTCATTGCAGTTGCTTAGCAAACAGGACTCTCTGACTTGTGACAGGGGACTTCGCAGATGATCAGATTTCATGGTCTATCTTGTTTCCGACAGCTTTACAATTGTTCTCCTCCGAGGCACTGATGTGTTACAGTGAGAAGGGGGAGGAGCCCTAACTGGCTTGGCTCCGTGGATAGAGCATTGGGCCTGCGAACTGAAGGGTTCCAGGTTGGATTCCAATCAAGGGCATGTGCCTTGGTTGCTTGCACATCCCCAACGGGAGGTGTGCAGGAGGCAGCTGATTGATGTTTCTTTCTCATCGATGTTTCTGACTCTCTATCTTTCTCCCTTCCTCTCTGCAAAAAGTCAATAATATATATATATATATATTTTTTTTTAAGAGAAGCGGGAGGAGATGTAGGCCCATGTCCTGCATTCCCCCCCCCCACACACACACACCCATAATGTAGATGGGAGCCCCTGCCCCCGGGAGGACTAGGCTTGGGATGGGGCAGCATGGTTCCTGGTGGAGGGAGAGGTGCCAGCCCATTCTTTTAGAAGCTCCCAGTCTCAATTAGATTATAGATTTTTGACAGGAAGTGTGACCTGTTCATTCCTGCCCCTGCCAGTCACCTCCAGAGTAGGACTTCATAGAACTCAGCATTGCCATCCAGATCCCTCCACACACACACACACACACACACACACACACACACACGCAGCGAGAGAGGAAACAGACTTGTTTCCTCTGAAAATGGAGCTGAAGCATCATGCAAACAAGGCTGTCTCAGTGATGCTGGCAGCTGCCAGAAAGTAGATTTTTTTTTCTTCTAATTACAAATAAACTTGTATGTGTCTCAGAAACCCTCAATCATTCTTATGATTCTATGGGTAGAAGTGTAAGTGAGCTGAATAAATGGCCCCCAAAAGACACAAGTCTTAACCCCCAGAACCTATGAATGTGACTTTACTTGGAATTAGTATCTTTGGAAGTATGATTAAGTTAAATATCTCATGATGAGATTATCATGAGATTTAGAGTGGGTTTTAATTTCCAAATATTTCAGGTTTTTCTAGTTATCTTATTATTGAGCTCTAATTTAATATCGCTGTTGTTGGAGGATATACCCTGTATAATTTCAATCTTTTACTTTAATGGCTTAGAACCATGGTCGGCAAACTGTAGCTCTCGAGCCACATGCGGCTTTTTGACCCCTTGAGTGTGGCTCTTCCACAAAATACCACGGCCTGGGCGAGTCTATTTTGAAGAAGTGGCGTTAGAAGAAGTTTAAGTTTAAAAAATGTGGCTCTCAAAAGAAATTTCAATTGTTGTACTGTTGATATTTGGCTCTGATGACTAATGAGTTTGCCGACAACTTGCTTAGCATATGGGGCACCATGCATACTTGAAAGTATAGAGTTGGCCATTTGTGGTATAGCGTCTTATACATGTTCTTTAAGTCACAGTGATGATGCCATTCAGATTTTCTAAATCCTTTCTGATTTTATGTCTAAGTCTACCTACATTGAGGAAAAAGTGTTAAAACCCCCAATTATGACCGAAGAATTGTTGATTCCCCCTTTGCTTGATTTTTTTTTTTAATGGTAGAAGGAGGAAAAGGAAATAGTAGATAGAACAAAGAGCAGACAGCAGAGTGAAACCCAAATATGCCACTTGCTACCTTAAATCCAAGAGGACTAAACATAGCAATTAAAGACAGAGATTGTCTGACTAGTTTTTAAAAATACCCAACGTTATGCATACAAGACACTTTACTATAAGAACACAGATGAGTTGAAAATAACAGGGTGGGAAGAGATATTGTCATACACACAGTAAGCACCAAATAGCTGGAGTGATTATATTCAGATCCGGCAAAACAGACGTCAAGACAAGGAGAGCTATCAGAGATAAGCAGTGACATTTTATAATAATAAAATGGTGAGTTTAGTAGGGAAACATGTTGTAAAAGTGTATAGGCCCGATTTCTGCTTTAAAACACACAAAGCAATATTTGACAGAACTCAAAGAAGAAATAGACAAATCAAACCCTGTTCTTAGTAACTTGTAGAATAGCTAGACAAAAAAATGTGTAACGATGTGGAAATTCTGAACAATACTATCAATCTTTTTTTATCTAAATGACTCATAAAATATTATACCCAACGAGTACAGAATACACCATTTTTAAAAAATTTTCTTGATTGTTGACAATATTACAGTTGTCTCACATTTTCTCCCCTTTGCCTTCCTCTCCCCAACCCCCACCCCACCCCAGGGCTTCCCCAAATATTGTCTGTGTCCATGGGTTAGGCATATATGCATATGTGTTCTTACATAATCTCTTCCTATTCCCTCTCCACCTCACCCCCACCCTCACTGAGATCTGTTATTCTGTTCCATGCGTCCATACCTCTGGCCCTATTTTGTCAATTTATTTTATTAGATTGACATGTAAGTGAAGTCATGTGATATTTGTCTTTCTCTAACTGGCTTCCTTCACTTAGCATAATAGTCTCCAGGTCCATCCATGCTGTTTCAAAGGGTAAGAGATCCTTCTTTTTTTTTACAGATGCATAGTATTCCATTGTGAAAGATACCACAGCATTTTTATCCACTCACCTACTGATGAGCACTTAGGTTGTTTCCAGATCTTAGCTATTGAAATAATGCTGCTATGAACATACGGGTGTTTTGGGATTCTTAGGATATATTCCCAGAAGTAGGATTGCTGGGTCAAATGGGAGTTCCATTTTTAATTTTTTGAGGAACCTCCATACTGTTTTCCACAGTGGCTTCACCAGTCTGCATTCCCACCAACAATCCACTAGGGTTTGCTTTAAATATATATATATATATATTATTGATTTTATACAGAGAGGAAGGGAGAGAGATAGAGAGTTAGAAACATCAATGAGAGAGAAACATCAACCAGCTGCCTCCTGCACACCCCTACTGGGGACATGCCCGCAACCAAGGTACATGCACTTGACCGGAATCAAACCTGTGACCCCTCAGTCCGCAGGCTGACGCTCTATCCACTGAGCTAAACCTGTTTCGGCTAGGGTTTGCTTCCCCCCCCCTCCACCCCCTTACATCCGCACCAGCACTTGTTGTTGTTGGTTTATTGACATAGCCATTCTGGCAGGTTTGAAGTAACACTTCATTGTTGTTTTATTTACTTTATTTTTTTAATCCTCACTCAAGGATATTTTCCCATTGATTTTTAGAAAGAGTAGGAGAGAGAGGGAAAGCCAGAGAGAAATATCAATGTGAGAGAAACACATTGACTGGTTGCCTCCTGCATGAGCCCTGACCATGGTCCACTCCTGGGAGGAGCCTGCAACTGAGGTACCTGCCCTTGACCTGAATTGAACCCCAACCCTTCCATCTGCAGGCTGACACTCTATCCACCGAACAAAACTGGCTAGACTAGAGCCTTATTATAGTTTTAGTTTACATCTCTGATGATTAGTGATGTTGAGCATTTTTTCATATGTCTATTGACCAGCAATCAGTATGACCTCTTTGGAGAAGGGTTTATTCAGGTCCTTTGCCCATTTTTAAATTGGATTGTTTGTCTTCCTGGTGTTGAGTTGTATGAGGTCTTTATATTTTTTTGGAAATTAACTCCTTATCGGATGTATCATTGGTGAATATGTTTTCCCATACAGTAGGTTCCCTTTTCATTTTGTGGATGGTTTCCTTTGCTGTGCAGAAGCTTTATAGTTTGATGTAGTCCCATTTGTTTATTTTGTTTCCCTTGCCCTAGGCCAGTGGTCCGCAAACTGTGGCTCATAAGCCACATGCGGCTCTTTGGCCCCTTGAGTGTGGCTCTTCCACAAAATACCACGTGTGGGCACGAACTTACAGTGCGATTGAAACTTCGTGGCCCATGCGCAGAAGTCGGTTTTTGACTCAAAAAAATTTCAATCGTTGTACTGATGATATTTGACCTTGTTGACTAATGAGTTTGCCGATCACTGCCCTAGGCGATATAACAGTGAAAATACTCCTACGTGAGATGTCTGATATTTTACTGCCTATGTTTTCTTCTAGGATTTCTATGGTTTTGTGACTTACATTTAAGTCTTTTATATCCATTGTGAGTTTATTCTTGTGTGTGAAGAACACACCCTTGTTCTTTAAGCACACACAGAACCAAGATAGACTGTATGCTGGGCCATAAAAACCACCCTCGCTAAAACAGCCCTCTACCCCACTCCAGTCACTCTCTCTTCACCACTTACTGCGTTGTCTTCATAGCACCTTTCCATACCTGCTCTTTTCTTGTTCTTGGATTGTTTGTGGCCTGTCTGCCCACTAGAAGGTCAGCTCTGTGAGAGCGGGCTGCTTCTGTCCACCCGGATCTCCGGTGCCGAGCACAGTGCCAGCCACGCGGCCAGCGGCTGTACTCATTTCCAGGGGCTGCCCAAACCAGGTGCCACACACAGGGGGGCTTCAAACAACAGGAATGTATTCTCTGCCGCCCTGGAGACTTACTGTCTGAGCTTTGGAGACTTAGACCGTCCCCTGCTCTGATCATTCACAGCAGGTTAGACAGAAACCCTGGCTTCATCACTGCCCCCTACACTGCCGAGGGCTGGCTCATCATTTCTCTGTCGACCTTCACCCATCCCTGGCCATGCTGGGCGCCCCGGAGGTGAACGGGACTGGGCTGGCCCTCGGAGACTCCTGGTCCGATGAGGCAAGTAATGAAGATCCAAACTAGCACCCGCACAGAGGTTGGGGGGTGGGAGGGCAGAAGGTGTTGTGGTCACAGGAGGGCCCCTGAGCTCGGCCAGGTTGGGCCGGGGGCTAAATGTAAGCTGTATAGATGCAAGAAAAGGAGATGTAGCCGAAACCGGTTCGGCTCAATGGATAGAGCGTCAGCTTGGGGACTGAAAGGTCCCGGGTTCGATTCTGATCAAGGGCATGTATCTTGGTTGCAGGTATATCCCCAGTAGGGGGTGTGCAAGAGGCAGCTGAACGATGACTCTCTCATCGATATTTCTAACTCTCTCTCTCTCTCCCTTCCTCTCTGTAAAAAAATCAATAAAATATATATATTTTTTTTTAAAAAAAAGGAGATGCAGGGTTCTAGGGGCCCCTTGGAGGGCTCAGGCACAAGGTCAGGTCCACGCTGGGGCAGGGAGGCCCTCGAGTGCCCAGCCAAGAGTCTGCACCGGAGTGGAGAGATGGGTGTAGGAGACAGGCATTCGGTGATGTTTACCTGTGACAAGCCCTCTGTGCACAGGTGAGTCATACACTGCCTGCGGCAGCACCCGGTCCACCCAGGGTTTTCCAATGGGTGTTGCAACTGCACCCGCCTCTGACGTGGCGGGATGTGGATGTTGGAGGAGGCCCTTTCCAAAAAATAAAATATAGCCGAAACCGGTTTGGCTCAGTGGATAGAGCATTGGCCTGCGGACTGAAAGGTCCCGGTTCGATTCCAGTCAAGGGCATGCACCTTGGTTGTGGGCACATCTCCAGTAGGGGGTGTGCAAGAAGAGGCAGCTGGTCGATGTTTCTTTCTCATTAATATTTCTAACTCTCTATCCCTCTCTCTTCCTCTCTGTAAAAAATCGATAAAATATATTTTTTAAAAAGATCATTTTTACACCCAGGCAACCTCCTGACCCCGCCCCCTACCGCATGGCCCCGCCCCTGGAGGCGGAGCCAACCTCGAGGGGCCGGGCTGGGGGCGGAGAGGCGCTGCCCGCCGCGCACTCCCAGGCCCCGCGCCGAGCCGGCCGCTGGGAACCGCGAGCTCCTCCGAGCGCCCCGACGGCGCGGCCAGTCCCACAGGCAGTCCGGTCCTCGCGCAGGACACATGTGTCCGGGCGTCGGCACGCACGGACCGGAGCCCCAGTGAAGCTTTCAGGGAAAAGCCAGACGGCGGCGGCAGATGCCCGCGGAGAGCCCCTGCGCCCCGGGCGCGCCCGCTGATGCCCCCTGTGCCCCGGGCGCGCCCGCTGATGCCCCCTGCGCCCCGGGCGCGCCCGCTGATGCCCCCGGCGCCCCGGAGCCGCCGCGCGCGCCCGGCCCGGAGCCGCGCCTGGCCGGCCGGCTGCTGCCCGAGCTGTGCGGCTTCGCGGCGCGCGTGCTGCTGTGCCTGGCGCCCGCCTACCTGGCCGGCTGCCTGGGCCTCAGCGTCACCTGGCTGCTGCTCGGCGCGCTGCTCTGGCGCTGCTGGCGCCGCAACCGCCGCGGGAAGCTCGGGCGCCTGGCGGCCGCCTTCGAGTTCCTGGACAACGAGCGCCAGTTCATCAGCCGCGAGCTGCTGGGCCAGCACCTGCCGGCCTGGGTGAGCCGACCCGGGACCTGGCGGGCGGGGTCGGAGGTCGGGGTGGGTGGCCCTTGGTTGGAGGCTCGGAGGGAACCTGCGGTGCGCGGAGAGTCTGGGGACGCGGGGACCCGAGGGAGGCAGGAGCCAGGGGGCCCGCGCACCTGGTCCCCCACGGGCCCGGCTCAGAGACCGCGGGGCGGGGACCGTGCCCCTCCCGCCCCTCGTTCCCACCCCACCTCTGGTTCTCATCCCACTCCACGTTCCCATCCCACCTCTCATTCTCATTCCGCCGCTGGTTCGGCGGCTGCGCTGGGAGAGGGAACCTGGGTGTCATTGAAGGGCCCAGAGCCTGGGAGGGAGGCCACGGGCGGGCCACACCCCGAAAAACCAGGGCGCCCGGGCCTCTGCGGAGTTCCCCGGAGGGAGCGGGCCCGCCTGGTGATTCAAAGACAGGACGCAGGGCGCTGCGCTGGTCCCGACGGAGCGGGGAGGCAGGGCCAGAGACGGTTGTGCGGGGTGGGGGCAGAGAGGGGCAGGGGAGAGGCTGGTGGGGCCGGGGCAGGGCTTCTCTCCCCCTCTGCCTGGCAGAGAGGCTTCGGATTTGGGTCATTGGGCGCCCATTCCTGGGGTTAGGAATCCAGGATGAGAAGCAGGTCTGTCTGATCACCTGTGAGGAGTATGCAAATAGGTGTAAATGTGATCACCTGTGAAGTGTATGCAAATGGGTGTAAATGTGGCTTTTTGACCCGCCGCAGGAAGGTTTACAAGCTGCGGGGAGGGGCGAAACGTGGAAAACCTGGCAGTTGCGATATTCTCCATCCTCTACCTCCTGAGGACGGAGACAGGCTCTGGGAAGGCCCGCGATGCCAGCACAGGTGTGTCTCTCTTACACCGGGGGCACCAGGCCGCCTTGTCATCTTGAGACCCGATTTCCTCGCATGGGAGTTGGCGGATGGCTTACGGCCCCCTTTGATATCACATTAACACGGCCAGCCCGCAGCTGGGGTTGAAGAAAAGCCGAGGGTCTCCACGGCCTCGGATGTGGCTGCCACCCTGGGCCTCACCTGGTCCCGCAGGGCAGCCCGTGGGGGGTGGGGGTGCGTGGCTGCCCGCTGCTCTCACGTGGGCACTGCTTGGAAAGCTCCCTCCTCTGCCTTCCACCCGCCTGTGCGGGGCAGGGCCAAGGCCAGGGGGGCTGAGCAGAGACACCATCACACACACACACACACACACACACACACACACCGCCATCTGGGACTTGGCGCTCAGTTCTCACTGCAGCCACCTTTCCTGCCCTGTCAGACCCTCCCCACAGGGCTGCCAGCTGCTGCCTCCGGGTGATCTTAGACGTTGTCCTCCCTGTTGGGGCTCCTTGTCCTCACCTGTGAGAACCCCAGACAGCCCCCCTGGGCCTCCCAGGGTCCCTTCCACGGACGATACAGCTGGAAGGGATGCTTCCGCCTGAGAAGGGCTGTGAGTGGAGAACTTGGGGACCCCCTTGTCCTGTGGCTGTGGCCGGGGCTCAGGCAGAGAGCAGGCGGGCCTCCCCAGCTCAGCCCCTGGGCAGGAGTGGCTGCCGGGGGGCCATGTGAGTGCTGCTCGCACCCAGCTTTAGGGCTGTTTTTGGAGGAAGGGAAAGCTGCCTGGGTCAGCCCCCTGCCAGGCTGCGGCCTGGGGGACAGCGGAGTGACAGCAGTGGGGTGGCATCCAGCGCACCCCCATGTGGCTGCAGCCTGGAGAGCGTTCCCCCAGCGGCTGTGTGCGGTGAGTGTCCGAAGCTGCCTGTTCGGAGCCGGCAATGAGGGCTGGTGGGGCTGGCACTGCATTCTCAGTTCCCGGGCCTCCTGACCCTGCCTTCCTCGTAGGAAACGTGTCCCCAAGGGTCTGAGCTGCACGTGTGTGTCCCGGAGCAGGATGACCGCAGGGGTGGATCCGGAGGAGGGATGTGCGGGGGGGGGGGGGTGGTGGAGGGGGGGACGGGACTGTCCCGGCTCTGCCTGCCCGGCTCTGCTGGGCCCAGCCTGTGGGTGCAGGGACTCCAGCCGTGGTGCTCCAGCACCCACTTCCCTCTGCCCCTCAGCGTCCCTCCTCCATGCTCTGGCTCCTCAAGACCCTCCTGGGGCACCTTGGCTGCCGCTCTAACCCTAACCCCCGCCCCAGCCTGGGGCAGGGTCCCGGAGGGAGCCGGGCAGGCCGCACTCCTGGGTTCCTGCAGCCGCCCCTTCGCAGCTGCGTGCGATGATGCTTATTCTCGAGTCCTTGCCCGGTGCCCAGGTGGCTGATGGGTTTGATATTGTTTTGCTGCTGCCACGTGGGCCGGTGTGAGGAGGGAGGTGTTTGGGGACTGAGGGCCTGAGGTCAGGTGGAGAGAGGGAATCACTGTCAGAAAACGTAGCATTCTGTCTGTCTGTCTGTCTGTGGTCGCAGGCCTGCCGGGCTAGCTCCTCTGCAGGCCGACGGCAGCCCATTGGCAGCCTTGTCAGGCACAGTGCACCCTGTGCAGCTGCCGGTGTGGGTGAGCCGATGTGATTGGTGGCAGGTCTGGGCTTGGAGTCTGTGCTCGTTCATTGGGGACCTGTCTTCTCTGGGTCCCTGACTTCTCTCGGGACACGATGAGGACTTAGGAGCCTGCCATGAGGAATCCGTCCCCAGTTGGCTTTTCTCTGGTGCCCCCTGCCCGGAGGACCCTGTTCCCCAAACTTTCTGCCTACCTCCCCCCCCCCCCCCCCCCCGCAATTGGGTGCACCTGGTGGATGGCGGCTGACAGGTGAGCATCCCAAGGCTCAGGGCAGCATCCCTGCGATGCTGGGCCCCTGGGAGGGCTCCTGGAAGCCCCGCAGCCAGCCGTCCAGGCAGACAGCCAAGCTGAGTGCTTTCCTCTGGGAGTTGGGCGTGCCTCCTTTGGGAGGAGCCCCGGTTTTCCAGGGCCCAGGCTCTCACGGTCCCTCCTGTCCCTCCGGTGCTGAGACTTTGGTTAATGAGGGGAAGAAAATGCAATGACAGCTCTGAGCCAGGCTGGGCACTCTCAGATTGCGTTTCAAAGCTCACTTCTTGGAGCTCACGCGTGGAAGCTGGTTTTGAACATCAGGACTGGTTGGGGGCCACTTGGAACTGAGGGACTTCTACCCATGAGGCCCCCGAGGCCAGTGAGGTCACTCATGTGGCTTGGCGTCACCAGGCCCGTCCTCAGGAGGCAGGCAGCAGGCAGCAGGAGGCAGGCAGGTTTTAGTCACGCCCCAGGGTCTCTGCCCCATGTCTTAGCGATGCTTCATGGACTTCCCAGGCCCCGGGCCAGGATTGGGCAAGAGAGGAGCAGAAGGTGGGCCTCCCCACCCCCAAGCCCAGCACAGGGATCTAAGGCATCCTTTACTCAGTTGGCAAACATCTGCCGAGGGCTTGCAGGATGCCAGGCCCCGTGCCACAGGCTGGCCCACAACACGAGTGACACAGGGTCCCCGCCCGTGAGGAACCCCGGGGCTAGGTGGCTTCAGAGCCTGAGAACAGCCTTTCCTGACTCAGGGTGATGAGTCTGCAAGGTGGCAGTGCGAGGCTCCGGCCCAGGCCCATGGGCCCAGGCAGCCTCCTCGGAGGAAGTGGCCCTCAGGTGGGAGTGGCTCAGCTATGAGGGGGAAGGGCAGTGCCTGGAGCTCAGTGGTATAATGATGTTAGGGTTTTTTTCCCCCTCCCTGCTCGCTCTTTCCTCCCCTTTTAGTGGCGCAAATGATAATGATCCCTTTGTAAAGGAATTGAGGTCGGGCCAAAACTGGTTTGGCTCAGTGGATGTTGGCCTGTGGACTGAAAGGTCCCAGGTTTGATTCTGGTCAAGGGCATGTACATTGGTTGCAGGCACATCCCCAGTAGGGGGTGTGCAAGAGGCGGCTGATCATGTTTCTAATTCTCTATCCCTCTCTCTTCCTCTCTGTAAGAAAATCAATAAAATATATTTTAAAAAAAAGAAAGAAAAAAAAGAATTGAGGTCGGTAGGTTACGGGTAAGAAGTTGGTGTTCTCCCAGGAGTGACAGCTGTGACTTTGGAGCCCCATCAGGAAGCCACCTTCCTCCAGGGCCTGAGCAGGTCCTCCGGCCTGCAGCCCTGCTCACTCATCTCCCACACTCCCGCCCTGCAGGACCAGAACCGCCTGGGAGCTTGTTAAGGATGCAGGTTTCCAGGCCCTGCGCCAGGCCTCCGACACAGCATTGCTGGGGCTCTACCCAGGAGCCCGTGTGTCTCTGAGCTCTCCAGGGGGTGGTTATGCAGAAAAGTTTGAGAGCCACTGCCCAATCTAGCCCTTTGCATTGCCTGGTGCTGTGGGTGTTCCCCCGCCAGCTGGTCCCAGATACTCCCAGCTCCTGGGGACCTGGGGCAAAAGCTCAGTGACATTGGGGCTCAGTCTGAGAGCGAGCCTCCTGCCTCCTGCCTTCCCTTCAGGGGCCTGGTGAGGGGAAGACACGGACAGAGGCCCTGACCGGGCCCCTTTGCCGCTCCTCACCGGGAAGCGCCCTCCGGGGCAGACTTTCTCAGGGCGTTCACGGGCATTGTGCCCTCCTGTCTGGCCGCCTTTGAGGGCACAGCTCCCTCAGCCGGTCAGCAGAGGCCAGGGAAACAAGTCCACGGTCGTCCTTCCTCTGTGGCCTCAACCAGGTGACCGAACTTTTGCTGTGTCAGCCTCTCCCCACTTTTTACTCTCCGTCTCGGTGGTCTCCCAACGTGCAGAGGTGGAGGCACCGAGAGACCCAGTGGAGAATTTGCTGGGCTGTGGGCCAGGCAGCAGTGGGCACACCGCCAGGTGCCCTTGTTCTTGGCAGGTACCTGAGCTCAAAGGTGTCAGAGGGTCTGTGCTTCCAGGGTCTGTGCAGCTTCCAGCAAGCGACCGCGTCTGAGCCAGGAAGGACGCTGAGCACCTTACGTGCACTCTCTGAGTCGCGTTTCGTTTTCTCAGGAATTCTTGTAGAGTGGGCAGTGCTGAACCCGTCTTGTGGATGAGAAAACTGAGGTTAACAGCGGCTAAATTTCAAAT